TCCACGAGCATGAAGTGGACCAGCTGGCCATCGCCGAGTACCGGGATGCACTCGCCCAACGGGTGGACAATTCTCGGGAAGTGGAAGAATCCCGATCCCAGATCAAGTACTGGAAGGACCAGTACAACGAGGCTGTCGCAACTTCTTCGGCTGAGATTCGGTCGCTGGAGTCCAAGTTGGACGCACTTCGCAGTCCTCAAGAACTGTCCAAACAAGTGTTGGTACTCCAGAAGGAGGTTGCCAACTACAAGAGCCGCGCGGAAGACCCTCCTCCGGGAACGCGGGGGAATCATCACTGGCGGGAACCTGGCTGGCGGGACCCTCAGGTGTTGGTGCCGGATCCTCGCTGCTGGGACCCTCGCCACCGGGACCCTCAGATGTGGGTGCAAGATCCTTGCTGCTGGAACCCTTGGAGGGGAGTGCTGGACCCTTGCCGCTGGAACCTTTGGGAGGTGGTGCGGGACCCATGCGGCTGTAGCCCTTGAAGGATGGTGCGGGACCCTTGCCGCTGGAACCCTTGGAGGATGGTGCTGGACCCTTGCCGCTGGAAACCTTGGAGAATGATGCGGAACCCTTGCCGCTGGAACCCTTGGGTAGTACTGGACCCTTGCCGCTGGAACCCTTGGGTGGTGGGGCCCTTGCGGCGGGATCTTTTGGCTGGTGGCTTACGCTTAGCATGGCTAGACTCTTCATATTCAGTCTCAGAGTCTGGTCCAAACATCTCCAAGAACTCGTCGGAGTACGTCGTTCGAGCCCTCTTGTTCTTTGACGCCCGAGGCGCTGCGTGGGAAGTGAGAGGGGATGGGGGCCTTGAAGGTGGAGTGGGAACTTTGGAATTGGCCTTAGTCGATAGGTCTATGACCTCGGGGCCGACCTCTGACGTAGAGGGTACAGGGCCGGAGCGACGACTGGAAGCCCGCGACCTGGCCATGGCGGCGAACATCGAGTCGTCACTACTGCTATCCTCGGCCTCAGATGACCCCGAGGCACGATTGGCTTTTCGCTTCTTCGGCTTAAGGGGCGACCGAGCCTTGGATGAAGGCGAACGTGACCTTTTCGTCGTTCTAGAACTTCGGGCTTTGGTCGTGGCTGGGGTCGATTTTGCCGCCGTGCCTCGAGCAACCGTTAGCTGCTTCTTCAGCTGGTCACGTTCCCGGAGGAGGGTCTTCACGCGGCTCTTGTAGTTGGCAACCTCCTTCTGGAGTACCAACACTTGTTTGGACAGTTCTTGAGGACTGCGAAGTGCGTCCAACTTGGACTCCAGCGACCGAATCTCAGCCGAAGAATTTGCGACAGCCTCGTTGTACTGGTCCTTCCAGTACTTGATCTGGGATCGGAATTCTTCCACTTCCCGAGAATTGTCCACCCGCTGGGCGAGTGCATCCCGGTACTCGGCGATGGCCAGCTGGTCCACTTCATGCTCGTGGACCAGATTCCGGACCCAAGACTGTATCCGGGGCGCATGGGTCATCTCGAATTCCGTGAGGTTGTCTACGCGACGCTGTAATTCCGCGGTCCGTCGATGTTCTATCTGGTAGGCCCGTTGGAGGACCCTGTGTTCCTCAGCGAGGGTCTCCATGGCCTGAGCCCGCTCCACCGCTCCACGTAAAACTTCCCAAGCTTGAGAGACCTCCAGATAATTGGGGGGGGGCTCCCCAATAAGGTCCACGGTCGGGGCGACCTCGTCAGGGTCAGGTCCAGGAAGTGCGAGAAAAGACCAACGGTCAGGTGCTTGAGAACCGGTGGAAAAATTACGAGAAGTCACTAACGGATACAAGACGTGTGAGTTGGTGAACGCAACCACCCAAGCGACGTAGGATCACTTACTGTTAATTCGAGGAGTTTGGACAAGGGTGCACGTGGTCTTACCGCAGTTCGAAAGACCAGCGCGCAGGGGACAGCTGTGGTGAAGTGCCAGGGAAAGTTGGAGTTTAAGGGAGATGGAACAGAGAGCAAGAGAACTTCTGGTCACTTCCCCGAGGGAGTGACCACGACCCGGCCTCGCGGATTTACAACCACACACCAGGCCCCGCCGTATTAAGAATATAAGGACCCATACGTGCGGAGTCAGTACAGGTTCCGAAGACCCAGGGGTACAGGGGCCCAGGGGCCCAGGGCCCTAATGTCCGAGGGTGCAGAACCGGTACACAAAATTTCGAAGATTACAGAAAGTACAGGGTACCAAGGGGCCAGTTCTTCCTCCAAGAGTCGGCACGTGGCACTATCCAGATCAAAGGGTTAGGGTTAGGCAAGAAAAAGCATACAAAGTATAAGGTAAATAAACACACTCGAATTTGCATTACACGTGGCAGCTTTAAGCGCCCCTCCTAAGCTTCTCCGTCGCTTCACCTCTTCCGCGCGGGATACCCTTTGGCCCCCCGACGTCAGCAGGTGTTAGACGGCTCAAGCTACGCAAGTTGAACCTCAGGATAGTTGGCCTGAGGTGTCAAGTAAGTGTCAAGACTCTACGACCCGCTACAGGAAGCGGTTTTCCTACGGGGAAGAACACAAAGGGGTCCAAGGACCAAGAACAGTCAGCCACCAAAGGGCGAGTTTGCTTAGCTTCAGCACACTGCATACAAAAAGACATAGTTCAATTTGTCAGCTTTATACCGGCGGCAAGCCCCTTGTCAGCCATACGAACAACATCTTGGTAGTTCAGATGACCTAGCTGCTCATGCAACTTGCGAAGGGTGGAGCTTTCAATTCGAGCGAGAAGAGCCGCAGCCTCATCAGCAGTATCAAATATTGCGGAAGGTGACCAAAGACGTGATAAGCGAGGGGCACGGGCGACAATACGATCATTTGTAGAGAGCGTACAGCGACTAGAGAATGAAACCACAAAGGTTTGATCGATAATCTAAGAATTAAAAAGCAGCTTTCGTGGCATGGCGGGGACGTAGTGCACATCAGTGACCACAAATCGGGTAAACGTTCCGTTTGTAATCGTCTTTAGCAGTACACTGCCTATGCTGACGGCCTGAAGCACGAAACCATTTGCGACGCGGACTAGTAAGAAAATGGGTGTGGGCGTGATAATGGCAGCTACATTGTTCGTGAAATGATGGTTAGCGCCGCTGTCAATAAGCCACTTTGTCGAAGTTGGCAACATAGCGTCGGGTAATTGAAGTACGATGTATGCTTCAGCACCAATAAAGGCATTAGGGGTAGGAGAGTCCAACGAAGATACATGATCAATACACTCTTCTGACGACCCTAGAAAGAAACATTTCCCAGTTGAGTTGATAATGATGTCGCCAGCACCTTCGACGACGTACGATTCGTCGAAGGTGCTGGCGACATCATTATCAACTGAGTAGGTCTTACGGCGGTAACAACGTTGGCTTGTCCGACTCAGCGGTGAGCGTCTTGAATCACTGGGCAGTCAAATGTTTTGTGTTCTGTCGTCTTGCAGACCCAGCATGGTTTAATGCCGTCTTTGGGTCGCGAGCGACTCGTGGAGCTGCACTGAGGTAATTTGGGTTTTGCTGAAGCTTGCGTATTTGCTGTAGCTAAAGCTGCCGATGCTCTATTGACGTTTGCCTTTGCATTTGTAGAACGCTGGCTGTGGCTACTTGACTTGCGCCCATCACCCAAAAGCTTCGTCAGAAGCGTAAAAGCTTTGATAATTTCGTTGTTGATGTTGGTAGCGTTGTAGTCGATGACGCTGGCGAGCTGAAGCTGGATACCTGGATCTATGGAGGCATTTTGCAAAAATGCCTCCAGGATAAGGGCTTTTGATCACCGCCCATTTCTTTCCCAATGTGGCGCCGATATGTGTAGTACCCGTGCCATGTTTGCTATGGTTTCTTAGGCTTGTTTAAATAGTCGCTCAGGCGTATTTGCGATAGCTTGCACCGGAACTCTTCACGCAAAGCTGCTTAGACTTCTTGGTACGAAGGATTGTTGTGTGTGAGTCGATCAACCCGTCCAGGAACTGAATAATAGAAGCCCGAGGCGGCGCCGTCAAGAAAGATGATGAGAAACGTCTCACGTAATTCATCCGTATACGTCGAGTTGCTACGTCGACTTTCACTTAGAATGGCTTGTTAAAAGTTGCGCACAAAAAGATTAAAGCCGCCCCCAAGACCAGGGTATTTATCCTTGCCGGTAAATATCGCACACTTGACTTCCTTTATCCGGGGTACCGTATGTGGCGCTAGCACTGAAGGTGCGAGGACAGGATTTGAAGCTGGCAAAGGAGAACTTGGGTCTGGAGCTAAATTTTAAGATAGATATAGTCCTGGAGATGAACCTTAATCTTGCGGTGGTGTGTCGGTGCTGGCGACCGTTGGGTGCGCAGTGGCACAAAATTATAGGTCGGAAGTGGCAATTGAGCTTCTTCATGAGACGGATTAATCGAAAGGTTTTTAGAATTAATAGGTGAGTGTTGATCACGGTCCATACGTGATGTGTTGGTAGAATGTGGCGGCAGTGTATCGCGCAATAATACTTCGTAGCGATATTGCAGGGACTGAAGTCGTTCTTCCAAGGAAGCTCGAGTCGCTATTTCTGCAGCCAGGGGATCTTCGGCAGCATTGGCTCGAGCGGGTTCTTGTAATAATTGAATCTCCATGGAATTATTAATGTGTTGGGCTTCAGTGATACGACTTAGCGCCTCTTCCTGGGCGACACGATGATGATCAAACGATTTTGTAAGATGGTCTCGAACTTTGTGCTCGGCTAGAAGTGTGCGGGCCAACGAATCCTGAGCAGATTGACTGATAGTTTGTTGCTCAGTTAAAGCTTCTTTGGTCTTGACATGCTCGGATTAAAGACTTTCGTTGCGCTGTGAGAGACGAGTAAATTCTTCATGAAATCGTTTCGCGACTACTTGGTGCAGTTGCCTCAGCGGTTTTACTGTCGAGCTGTGTGTTGACCTGGATGCGTTGGTTGGCGATGTCTTCAATTAGCTTGGAACGGTGTTCGATAAGTTGGTTTACTGTATCTTGGAGTGGATTTCGCTGATCTCGAACATTTAAGACGTCATGCTGGAAGGTTTGTAGTAATTTGTGGAGCTCCTCATTGTGATGAGTGAGGATGCCGACTTAGTTTGGAGTTGCAGTGACAATTGTTGAAGCATAGTCTTCTACAGCCACAGCTTCTTCATTGACTAACGTGGCTTGCATTTAGAGTGAGAAAGTATCAATTATGGCGCTGGCTTCAAGAACGGCGTTTGTTGCGCTCATAAAAAGCTTTTGTATTTGTGGAACTGATACAAGCTCAATTGTTTGAAGCAAATGCGCTTGAACCCTCATTGCTGATGCTGCTTCAGTGCGGGCCGTCGGGCCCGCGAGCATGAGAGAGGTATTTTCTTGGCTCGCTGATGTAATACTCATAAGGGAAGTAAGTATCTGATGAGAAAGGGCTGGATCGAGTTAGATGGCTCTCAGGCATTGGAGTGTCATCGTCATCAACCAGCGGGTCCATGATGTTCTACTTTAAATTCTGGGAAGTGGTTTTGGGCTCAGAACCAATTGGCAGAGAATTTTAAATATAAGAAGATTGTGTATTGTTTTCGTCAGGGTTAATCCCAGAATGAGATGTATAGAAGTGCAGTTGTGTTAATCTGCCTGTGACATGTAATGATGTAGATCATGACATCACGAAACAAGGTAAAGAAGGTTATGGATGATCTGGGCCTTGGTGATAGTACCACTGTTGACTTGAAGTTTCAACTCAGAAGCAAGGATGTGTGGGGATCGGTGAGAATAAATATATGACCGAAGGGTTAACCAAGATAAAAGTCACATTGAATGGATCACTGGTGTACTTTTTTGATGTCTGGGTAGGCGATCAAGTTGGTCAAGAAGCGATCTTGGGTATGGATTTTATGGTCCCAGCTGGAATTCGCTTGGATTTGGCAGATGATACTCTTTGTTTACCAGATGAAGTCAGAATTCACTTGGCTGGGCGAAGACCGCCGTATCGATCGAATATGCAGCCGATCACGATTAACGATCAGCATATGTTAATTCCAGTAGGCGGATCAACGGAAATAAAGATTGGTACTGGTGCACCGAAATCTAAGCTTTGGGTAAGGAGAGATCAAAAATGGATACCGACTGTGACTACCGGACCGTGTCGAACTAAATACTTGCAGCTGACTATCTAGTGGATAGAGAAGTAATTGTAAGTCACGAATCTCCGTTAGGTTGGTGGATGGCTGCAGATATGATACCCTGATCACCTGGATATGTTTCGGTTGGATCGCGCCGTTATAATGAGTGGCAGACTATGGCCTATGAAGCAACCACATATCGGAAGGAAGAGTTCAAGAAGAAGCAGACAGTACCGTTGGTTAATCACCCGTCGTATCCTACGCCAGCTAAGACATTAACCCTCCAAAGAAAAGAAGAGATCGAGAAGATCACGAACGTTGACGAGATCGCGCCGCAAACCTGCGAAGCAACGATCCACGACGGTGAAACTCAAGGTCAAATCGATGACCAAGATCACTTGGACAGATAAGATTATCATGCAGCAGAAATGTCTTTTGTGATCAATACGGTCATAGTCGAGAACAGTGTGATCCCCAAAAGTGAAGGAAATGATCTGGAACAAGATCGATTAGGTGATGCGATCGAGGACATAAAGACGACTGCGACAGATAAGAAAGTTCAAGAAATATCGGATCAAGAACAGGAAACGTCACATCAAGAAGGCAACAAATCCACCACAGTTGTGATCGATGAAATACCAACAGAAGATGCATCGCCAAAAAATTCGGTATATGTTCACGAAAGCGGTGAGCTGTTTGCTAAAGACGTGGATCAACATATGGCGATTTTGCCAGAAATTGTTACGCGTACAGTGGAGGTTGCTATCGAGGATATTCAAGTTGGCGATCCTCGAGTACCGCTGACGGAAGATCAAGAGAAGTTACGACAATTGTTCTGGAAGAATCGCCACTTGCTCATCGGGAAAGGCAATGCCCCCCCCCGCGGCGCGTGGAGCGATTTGTGATATTGATGTTGGAGCAGCAAACCCAATCGCGCAAAGAGTACGACCAGTGGCACCCAAGTTTCGAAGAAAATTAGCAGATCTGATTAAGGAGTTATTATCTGCCAAGATCATTTGACCATCGACATCACCATGGGCTTCGTCAATCGTGGTGATTATTAAGAAGAATGGCGAAGACATTCGATTATGTATCGATTATCGTAGGGTGAACCAGTTGAACCGATTGATGGTATATCTTATTTCACTGATCAGTGAGTTACTGCAAGACATGGATAAAGCGATGTGGTACTGTTATCTGGATATGGCGAGTGGATTTTGGGTGGTTGAGATGACGGAACGAGCAAGGGAGATCTCTGCATTTATCACACCGTCTGGATTATATGAATGGTTGCGTATGCCTTTTGGCCTAAAGAATGCCCCACAAATTTACCAAAGATTGATTGACAATGCCTTATATGAGTTTTTGAAAATTGGTACAAACCCTGATTCGACCACTACTAAATCATCAAGACCGATTGATGTGTTTACCAAAGGTGAACCAGATACCGATCCGAGACCATCAGTGTTAGGTCGGAGGTCGTATATCGATGACATATTGATACCCGCCACGTCGTGGAACACTCTGTATCACAAAGTGGAACGATTGTTGGATGCATGCAATAAGTGAAATTTATCGATCAGTGTGGCCAAAAGTTTTTGGGGACGTCGTAAAGTGGATTACCTGGGCCATCAGGTCTCGCTTGCAGGTTTAGAAGCTCATCCAAAAGATTTGGGATCGCTTGTGAATATATCATTCCCTCAAAATTTGCGATCGATGCAATCATTTTTGGGAAGTCTGAATTACTAAAGCCGATTTATTGAGGATTTTGCGATTTATGCATCCGTACTTTATGAGCTGCGGGAGGCAGATTTTCATGAGATCAGCCGGGCTGGGGATGTTCAGATGGTCACTGATGGTGCTGGACCAAATTGTGATCGCCAGTCTCGCGACAAGTATAACATCGATCAGGATTTATAAAAGTGGATCGAGAGATGGCTACATTATCGATCAGGATTTTAAAAGTGGATCGAGAGATAGCTACACTATCGATCAAGAGTCGAATACTGGAGACGATCATGGTTGCGAGGGCAGAAACCGCTGGGAGAAGGCCACGATCGCATTCTCCCACGGTTTCTGAAGGCAACGATCGCATTCACTCTATTAAAGGCTAAAATAGCCTCGACACCGATCCTGAAACATTTTGATCCAGAACGATCGCCTGTGATTGTGGTGTATGCCAGTAAGTGGGCCATATCAGCGGCGTTACTTCAAGAACACGATGGAATTTATTGGCCTGTCACTCTCTCTAGTTGCATGCTGAAGCCTAACGAGATTAATTACGGAATAGTGGAGAAAGAGGTATTAGCTTTCCTCCGGACCCCTGGATATCTGTTACACTATGCTGGTCTCACGAACGATCACAGTGCTTACGCGGCATTCGACGCTGGCTTGGTTATTGCAATCTTCTAGCCTTAACGGGAGGTTAGGAAGATGGGCTGCTCTCATATCAAATTGGACATTAGAGTCCCGCCGGAGTGAGAAAGGAGAAGACGAGATATTGGGTACCCTAGCTGCGAGTATAACTCCCCGTGAAGAAGTGGACGAGATGTTGATCGCAATCGCCCCTCGTAAGCAGCCTCGGCAAACAATCAGTATGCCACCACCCACGGTTGAAGCAGGTGAAGATCTGTTGGTAGTTAGTTTTGATGGGTCAGCTAGAGTGAAAAGGAAAGGCGGGGCATACAGCGCGATCGTGTGGAAATTACCTGAATGGACGATCGTGGCTGCCGCTTCTGAATTCGCTACTAATTTGACGGTGAATGAAGCGAAATATCGAGGATGAATTCTCAGCTTGGATCTGCTTGCAGATCAGACCAGGTCATTTGCGGTGACTCGAATTTGGTGATCAGGCAAATGCGTGGAGAGATCGACTGTAAGGCACCGGGTCTACAATTGCTGCGTCATAAAGCTATGGAGAAACTCCGATCGTGGCCAAACCACGAATTGTTGCACATGAAGCGGGACTGGAACCAAAGTGCCGATCGACTAGCAAGTGAAGCTCTACAGCAAAATAGGGTACAATTGTAATTTCGGATCAAGATCGTCAAGACTTGGGTACTCTAAATCGATTGGACGAGCTGTTGATCCCAAGACAAGTCGATCAGGTAGTCAAAGTGGCTGCGATCACTCGATCAGCTGTGAGAAGACGTTGTCAGCCAGAAATTTTGCAGGAAGAAATCGTGCCAGCAAATGCGGGTCGATCGCATACGACAAGCTCAAGACGAAGAATGTTGGATATCTAACTTGAAGAAATATTTGGTCGGGGATGTTGCGAAGTTAAAAGTGGACGAAGCGAAGAGCTGTCCCCTGATCGCATCCGATTACGAAGTGGACCTAAGTGAACTATTACTTTTCTACCATGGAGCAAACGCGAAATCTGAAGATCGTAACGAGTTGGTTCTCTTGGTAATTCCGGAGTTATTTCAGCAGGATGTTATACATCATTACCATACGAGTCTGGAAGGTGGTCACCAAGGGATTGGTCGAACCTACCAACTGATCAAAATCAATTT